AATCTCAGGTGTTTTTGAGAGGGAACTTACAAGAAATTGCCTTTCAGTAATTTTAAGCAAATTGTCAAATTTTTCTCCCAGAAATATTGTAGGTTGTGGACACCACAAGGAAGAATTGTCAAGAGAGGCACTGAGGGCATATTTGATCTCTAGATTGAGTATTTGCTGTGCAAAAGAGCATCATGTGAGAGCCCTCGAAAATAAATCAAAATATTTTTACCAAATGGCTAAATTGTATTGAAGTTGAACTTTTTTGAAGTTTATCTCTTAGTAATCTTATGATATTATTGCTTATTCATAATATGCAAATGCCGGGTACCTGTTGAATTCCATAATATCCTCATGAATTACAACAAGCATATTTTTACTTGCACTGCATTGTTTGGAATGTTTGGTGTATAGTATTGAATATATCGGAGTTTGTTCCAACACCAAAGTGCTATTTTTAAAAAATACAATTTTTCTGTGAGTCAAATTTCGATAAATCTTAAAATATCTGTTGAGATGTGATACTCTCATCAGCTGTATGAGTTTTTTTAAATATAACTGAATATTTTCAAAAAACTACCTATTTCATAATTGATGGTCACATTTGAAAAAAAGAACTCTTTCACACACTCAATGTTAAAGGTTGTAGTAAGCAATTAAAGTATATCAGAAGACATTTTGTATTTGTATTCTAAAAGAAAATGAACTTTTTCATCACATCTCTTTCCAAGGTCCCATAGTGTTCTTTGAATATCACGGTATTTTATTTACCTGGATATAAAAGCAATCCCATCATAAGGAAACTGGACATTAATTTACCACTGATAAGGAGATTAAATACCATTTCACCTCAGATCGATAAAAAACTAATTCAACTTTTGAACAGTTTGACGTAGAAACATGAAAAAAAAAACGTTTTCGATACTGTTTTTTGAAATAAAACACATTGTGATTGCTCGATAGATGGCTGGGGAAGGCACTTCAACTTTTTTCAAAATTTTAAATGGCATGGTGGTCAAGTGTCAAATTAGTCTATCAGTGGTGACCTGTACACGAAATCATGAGTCAATGAAATCAAATTGAAATAATATTTATGGAAGATATAGCAATTAAACTTTGTTAAGTTTATGGTGGAATTGTAAATTTCATCAATCATAATTATAGAAATCTCACAAACTACAATATTCTTTTACAGACAATAAATAGTTCACATTCTTTCCGAACCAAAGAGGTTATTCAATACCTACATCTGATGTTCAATGGAAGGTAATTGACCATCTTACATGCATTGTAAATCATTAAATTTTGTCTTGTAATTTCTCTCAAGTTATTTGGAGAACCCAAACGCTTGCTAGGTGTGATATACATACACCCATAGTCGCTATGAATAGATGTATATTGGTTGAATATCTATTGGAAAACAGCTGTGTTTCTCCACATTAAATTGTTCTTCATATATAAACCGCTTGTTCCAAATTTTATGCATCAAAGAGAAAACTTTTTTATTATTAATAAAAAAAAATCAGTCAAAAGTTGGTGCTTATCAAAAGGATCTCTTGAGAGGTAATCGAAAAGTTCGACAAAGAATTCACTGGGAACATTTCTTTGTAATCTAGAGGATGATTCAGATTTTGAATATCAGTAAAGTCCTCATTAAATTGTTTTATAATTTTTTTTTTCCTCACTGGTATGTCATCTCTTCAGTATTCAAATCATTTTCAAATAATATTCCGTAGTTATTGAAATATTTGTTGTTTCATGAATTCATAACAGTATATAAGAGATAATTGCTTTTGATTTTTGTTCTTTTTTTGAAACGTTAAAATATTCCCAATAATTTTTTCTGTATTTCCAAAAATAGAAAGACTTCTGAATGATTTTTGTGGATAGAATGATGTTCAATGCACAAACTAAGGACTCAACACAACTTTCCCCATCACCCATCATGGAGTTCCTTGCGAAGCACCAACTTATATCACAAATAACTTTTTTGTGACATTTAGAGTAAAATAGTTTTCAATTTATTGCATACTTCTTGTGACACACTGCATTTATATATAACATAGTTACACATTCATTATCTCAAGTTTTATTGCTGACATTTCCTTTCTATCATACCTGTTTTTTTGGGAAAAAGAGGAAGTTATCATTATTTCTCACCTTCATAATGATTTGACCTGTATTATATGTATGTAAATTGTGTGAAAATTAAAGATTAGACATATTCAGTTGATTTTTCAAATGAGTAGGTAATTATTGTTTGTATATTGGTAATAACTAATTTTCAGTATGAATTCCAGTAATAGGTGGAGAATCAAAAATTTTCACTGTTTCTTGCATGCACTTGATACACAATAAGAATATGATGGGAATAAAATAAAAAATGTAGGGAACCTTCATCTGATTCTTAAAGGAAATATAGTAGTTCCATGAGTTGTGATATAAATAAAATATTGCTATCAAACAAATAAGAAATTTCGTGTTCACAAAGATAATGATTATCTTCGGTACAATAAAAATGAAATTTTTCTGTAAAAATAGAGTTTGAGACCTTTGTGGCTGGATAAAAAAAGTTTTTCTTTTCCAAGACCATACCGAAAAATATGTATTCAAGTATATAATCTTTATACTTACCACCTGTTTTGCGGAATTCGTACCGATAAACAACCAGTGTCAAGTACATAATAACATCTGCATCTTGGGTTGAAATATCAAGGAATTACACGAAATTTCATCAGAACTGTGTGGGTTGAAAATTCGACAACTAATTCACCAGAACTTAGACAGTATCTTGTCTGGTGAACGAGGAGGCCACTTAATAGGGCCATTTACAGTGATCCATCTGTTTTCAAAACAGTCTCGCAATGCCACTGGAATTATGTGCTGGCGCTCTATCCTGCAGAAAATAGGTCATTTGACGAGCCTCCAGATAAAGATTATCGAAAAACTCTTCCAACACTTTTGTTAAAATTAATAAATGTAATAGGGTCCGATCAGAGAATCCTGATAGAAAAATAGACTGATAATTCTGCCTCTAAATGGATTACATCAAAGATTAATACTACATCGCCTTATGGATTATGTCTACTCCAATGATGGAAGTTCTTTCTATTATACATCCCACAATTAGTAAAATCAGCCTCATCGCTCCATATAATATTACTACAGAAGTTTGGATCTTGTCCGCATCCCTTCATGAACCACCGAGGAAAACCCCAATCGTCTCTCAGGGTCACCAGGTTCTAGTGTTTGCACTGGTCTTAACTTATGAAGAGAAATCATATGTTTCTTCAGAATTCGTTGAATAACAGACGAGACGCAGACGATGGAATAACTATTTCTCTAGATAAATCTCTGAGGGAATTATTTGGATTTACTTGAAGTAGGTTTAAATATCGATTTCTGTATATTCAGATATTACAAAAAAGGGGTAAATTTTCGTTATATGGACACCCGACGATTTTGAAAAATGTTTTGACTGTACTTACGTATTTTGATGCGTAGATTACGAATCCGAAAGAAAAAAGCGGCGCTCTCCCTTATTTGAAAAGTTACGGCCCTTCAAATTTCAGAAAAGGGCAACTTTTCAGCCTTCTTTTTCACTAAATAAACTATTTAAAAACACAAGCATTTATTCACTAGGTCACCTTTACACCTTATTTCTCCTTCTTTAACACTTTTCATTTCAATAATCAACATTTTTCTTATAAAAATGTTAAAAAATGTACGGAGCAGCTTTTTGGTTACATATCACTGTATTTTACGTTTTTAAGGTTAATGATATGGTTGGTACGACTGATGCAGGTCATATTCCTGAAGTAATTCAAATGTTTTTCACCTTCATTCTTTAGATCGTGAATTGGTTTTTGGTGGTGTATCACGAATTTGAAATAGTAGGTGACGGCAAATACCAACCGCTTTTTTCTGAAATGTCACTAGTAAGTAACCTAAAAATAAGAAAAATGTTGATTATTGAAGTGAAAAGTGTTAAAGAAGGATGAATAAGGTGTAAAGGTGACCTAGTGAATAAATGCTTGTGCTTTTAAATAGTTTATTTAGTGAAAAAGAAGGCTGAAAAGTTGCTCTTTTCTGAACTTTGAAGGGCCGTAACTTTTTAAATAAGGGAGAGCGCCGCTTTTTTCTTTCGGATTCGTAATCTACGCATCAAAATACGTAAGTACAATCAAAAAATTTTTCAAAATCGTCGGGTGTCCACATAACGAAAATTTACCAAGAAAGGTATTGATTAGGTGATTCACGATCGGGGAACGAATTGCTGTAGTGTTGGAGTACTCTCTCGCTATTTTTCTGGCAAACCAAGTAGGATTCTGACATATTACATTTTTCTTTATGGGAAAACGTCATTTCGAAAAATATTCGAAGAGTAGTTGACAATGATTTATGACAGTGTCATGACATATACCTGAGAATATTTGACAAATAGAATTTCAACAAATTTTCAAGGCAATTTGATTAATCAAAATAATTCTGTTTTATCGAATCAATGGCTTTAAGGTGGAAATTATCGTTTTGTAAATTAATATCAAATAGCTCAGTGGTGTCACGAGTTCAAATCCCAGCGCAATTTTTTCTTCTCTTTATATTCTCATTTATATATTCATACAATGAAGGTATTTATGATGAACCAACGAAAAAATGGTAAACTTTGTTATTTTACAGAAATAATCGATAGATCTGTTGAAAAAGTTGCCTTTATTCCTTCATCTGTTGGCAGTTAAAAAAAAATGTTTTTGTTTAGGGGTGCGTCTTTTCCACCTTCCAAATCCATCTCTGACAAACAATGAATATCCGCATCGTTTTGATATTAGTCAGGGATTCGCTTTGTCGTGTATAGCTGCTTGGACTTTTATAGTACTCCATTCCATAATGGCTGATTGGACAGTTTCAGTAGTATTTCATGTGGAAGAACTTTTTTAAGCTGTTTAATATTTTGTGTAATTTTTGATACGGAACTGTATCTAGGGAATTTCAAGACCGATTGAAATTATTCATGGAAGTTGAACAATATAGTGTATTTATACAAAATAAATTACATTTGAGGATAACTCAGCTCATTTCACCATTGGTAAGCGGCGCGGAGTCCAGAATACGAAGCATGAGCAACTACTGGCGCAGCAGAGTAAGAAGACACTACTGGAGCAATAGATTTGGCCAAGAGTGGAGAAGAGTAAGCTGACACGATTGGAGAAGAGTAAGCAGACACAACTGGGGAAGAGTATGCTGACACAACTGGGGAAGAGTAAGCTGACACAACTGGGGAAGAGTAAGCTGAAACTACTGGTGAAGAATATGCAGATACAACTGGTGCTACAGATTTGCTGATGAGAGGAGCAGAGTAGGCTGAGACAACTGGAGCGTGTGCAGCGTAGCTTGAAACAACTGGTGATCCGTGGTTGGTGTAGGAGCTGACGACTGATTTTGATAGGGGCGCAGCATATGCTGATACTACTGGGGAAGAGTAGGCAGATACTACTGGTGCAGCAGAGTATGTGGCAAATGCGGGCGATCCAATTAATCCGGCGTTAGCGCAAGCCACAGCAGCGGCGAAGATGATGAACTGAAAAGAAAAAAAATAGTTTATCATAGTGTAAAAATGTCGAGACATCTGGTAATGAAACAGTCTGAAGATTCAATGAGGCAGAAATAGTTCATAGGATATTCGATCCAATCAGACATTTCATCAACAAAATCTTTTGCCTTGCCAAAATCCACTGGCAAACTCGTGTCAATAATTCAAAAGTGTAAGTAGATTGTTGGAATATTTTATTTTTCAACTGAGATCCAAGAAAAATAAAAAAAGATGAGTGATCATTTTGAAATATTTATGGTTCATTATATTTTCTGTTAGATCTTAGCATTCCACAAATTAAATCGGAAATAGAGATTCGCATTATTCTTATCGTAGAGCTATACCAAAATAATATTTTTTTATTCAGTGTACACTATTGTTGACTGTACTGGTATTGGTAATTTGAATTTAGCTGAGAAAACATAAATTTTTCTCACCTTACCCTTAGTTCAAGGAGATAAAATCATGGAATTCAACCGATTAAAATAGGTGCACTCGGTGTATAATCATCCAACATTTCTGAATTCCATCACATCTGATAGGATTTTTTGGTTAAAGTTATTCTCCCTCTTGAATTTTTTCAATCCATGGTATGTAGATACTCAACTCCAATAACACATTCAAAATATGTCATTAGACAAAACAACAGATAGAGACCAAACAAGAATCTTCATGAAATATTATCGGAATGACTTGATGACAAGTGATCTATTTCATCGTACTGATTTCATTTCAATAGTTTCAACTATACTGAATATAATGCAAACAATGTAGACTTTCATTCAAATAATTCGCAATTTTCAATGGAACTGATGAAATTCAGGATTTTTAGCAGATCAAATCTATCAGAGAAAGTTATTGAAATGATCTGAATTATAACTAGTCATATTAATCATAATAACGATATTTTTGTATGATATGATAATTTTAGGTATTGAAATGAAAGATTTTTGGGATACTCACTTTTGATGCCATTGTAGTTTATTGTATTCTGGTTAGTCAAAAACTAATATAATTCAGAACATTTCGACAGTTTTTATACCCGGTGCTCGATACTTCAACTTGCGCTTTAATCTACTTTCAGTTTTCGTGAAGGTCTAGGTTAGCCTCCTTCATATTACGTCGATATGGCGATTTCTTGTACGTGCTTAATTATATTAATGAGAATATTATACGGAAAGCGTTTTAGAATCAACATAATCTTATATAAGAAGAGTTTTAGAAGTACTGCAATTGTTGAAGATTTTTGGAATACTGAAATTCATGAAGGTTTTTGAATAATCGAAATATTTGACATTAATTGGTATTTGTATGCAGTTGAAGAATCAAACTTTTCTATGTGGAATCATTATTTTTGACTGGATCTTGTTTGAGTTCGTCGGAATACCAATACATATTTCGTGAATGGAAATATTATGGCCAAAAAACTACAAAAAAGCAATGACGAGTGAGCAGGTGCATTATCGTGATGCAAAAGCCATGAATTGTTTTTCCACAATAACAGACTTTTTTTCGCATTGCTTCTCGTAAGCGGTAAATACCTTCAATTGGTCTTGACTCTCCTTGGCTCTTCATTGAACTATCAATGTCATAATCATATACCGATAGAATTCGCCACCAGTAATGACCCTTTTAAGCAAATCTGGAGCGCCTGAGCGATGCTTATATGATGGTTTTTTCGGTAAGAATTCAGTAATTTCGAAACGAAGTTTGCCACCACACGCTCTATGCTAAAAGTTTACAAAAAATTGTGAGGTATGAACCAACCGATATGCCGACATCCTCAGCAACTTCTCTAATAGTGATTCGACGAAACGAGTGTACCAACATAAAACAAAATAATGTAGGAATGTACGTATCTCGCGAAAAAATCATATTGATAAATGATGGAAATGTATTACAGGTTATTCCCCAAAAACAGATTTTCTAATGAGGCCCGATTCACACACAGTATTCCTATCCGAAAAAAAATTGTAAAAACAACAACAAGTAACATTCGACAGTCGCACACGAAGCGTCCGTTGCAAAACGGTCAGGATATGTTTGAAAATGCTCTTCATTCGTCGGTTTTGATACTTCAACTCTCAGTTATGATATAGGTTAGGTTAGGTCCAGAGTTAGTGGGTCTATTCGACCCTCCACCGCAATCTGCATGGGTTTGTTGTGGCTCACATCTATTCACACTCGACTAAATAAACCCAGCTTCCTAACGAAGCCGATTAGTTTGTATGGTGAGTGGTCTTTCATGTCAGATGGTAAGAGTACGGCTCTGCCGAACTCTAAAAACCTGATTGGGTTTCCAGCAGGGCAGGCACAAAGTATATGCTCTGCTGTTTCATCGTTAATGAGGTAGTCGGATAGTCAAAGTACAATATTGCAAGCTTGATACCCGCGACAACCTACCCATATGAGGGTTTTTGCACGTCAGCTGCTCCTGACGATGTCTCAGATTCAACCATGCAGGGCTCTTTCGCCTCTGGTTTTGGTGAATTATCGCAAACGTTTGCTAACCTGCTCATGGGGGGTTTGTTTTTCCACCTGAGACAGATTCTGCGTACGCCGCTCAAGAATTTGGTGCAAGGCGGTTTTATAAGGTACCCCGCTCTTGAGGACACGACTCAATCGTTTCCTGGCTGCACCACCAAACGTTTTCTTTTGGGTCAGCTATTGGATCAGGGGTTGGGGAGTTGAGAAGCTCTCGCTTCTGAACTAAATTCACAGGGAGGGCAGTTGGAGTCGTAAACTCGACATCCATCTTCTCTGTAGACACTCTCCTGAACTAAATTTACAGGAAGGTCAGTTGGAGTCGTGAAGTCGACATCCATCTCCTCTATAGACTCAGCGGCAGAAATAATTTTCAAGTTTACTCTGTCCATAAAAGTCCCACGAGTAGCTAGGGAATGAAGGTCAATCACGGCAGAACCCCGCATTACCGTGACAAGGTGATGCTAGGACGAGAGGGCGTATGGTATCTCGAAGGTTCCGTAGAGACAGCTGATAGGCTCGGTGTCATTCATCCTCTCGGCACTGATACACACACCTTAGGATTAAGCCATCGTTGGGATGCCATTCAGTTAGGGAATAAAAGAACCACAAGTGATTCCCGTATCCAGCGGGGCTACGTGGAAACAGGCATGTTTGCTCAACCCCCATATCCCAAGCCATTGCACTCGCCAAAAACAGCATGCACAATGGGACAGGCAGTTATAATATATGTCAACTGTCAATTTTGATGTGTTAATTGTCAGTTTTAGTGCGTGAATTGTTAGTTTAAAGTTTCTCAAAGAGGAACAAAGTGGACAAGAACATAACTTGGTAATTTTGAACGTCTGAAAGGAAATTTTGTTACTTAAGTAACGCTGGGAAAGACACTGTTTTCTATCTTATATATTCAAGACACCCTGTGGTATAAACACAGCTTCTGAATGAAACTCTGAAAAATATATGCAAGTTTGGTTCTTTCTTCGAACAATGTTTCTCCATTCCTTCTCATATCACGATTCGATTCACAATTATGAATCCCTGAATGAAGAATTGAGTTTTCTCTGCGTGTTTTTCATTCTCTACAAGCATTATGGAAAAATCGACGATTGAACTATGATATGAGTAGCGAACTGTTGAAGATGAAAACAATATCGGGTGCTGCCTTCTCTAGTATGGACAAAAGCTTTCTATTCTCTGAGGCATTCCACCAATCAGCCTTTTAATATACTCCTGGGACGAGTTATGTTCGTATGTAGTCTTTCATAAATACTCAAAAAGATTTGTATCCGGGGATATCTGTTCAATATGATTTGATCTGAAATGAATTTCCTCCCATATTTTGGAAAAACTATTAAAATCGAACAAGGAATAAAAAAATTATTCGTGTCCAAAATTTGCTCTGGAAGGGTGTTTCCGTAATTTCGACCAATCAACAATATTTATCGACATTTAATGGGATTTCAAAAGTCATTGATTTTCATATCGTAGTTTTTCAACGAAGAAATACATCAAATATTTATTCTCCACCTCAGTTTTCGATGTCCAGCCAGATTAGATCAATGGTGAACAAAGTGGCAAATTAAAAAAATAAAATAAGAATGAAGGGAAGTTTCGTTCCTTGGTTAATAAAAAATAATCAATGAAATTTCATAGGATTTCAAAAATTATTAAATTCCTAATAATTGTAGTTCTTCAACGAAGGAATACATCAAATATTGATGTTTATTTTCCATCTCAGACTAGATTGACGGTGAATAAAGTGGTAAATTGAAAAATGAAACAAAAATGTTGATTCAAAAACGAAAACTCAGTACTCAATATGATGGACCTTTTAAATTATTGCATGAGTTATTCATTCATGGATATGTCAGATGTAAGATAACACCTACAGTTTTTTGTTCTCCGTGTTGTTGAATCGAGATCAAAATTGGTTATTGGAGATATTATGTTATTCAATATAAAGATGGAGTCAATTTCCGAAAAAATAAATAACGTATGTGAAATATCCACATCCTTGATGCAGGTGACATATTATCTTGGAAGGAGTTCACATAGTTCTCAGAACAGAGTTTGTAGAACCTTACCAAATATTTCTACTAGTGCTCATAATAAGAAACTGAATGGAACTTTCGCAGGTCAAATTTAGTAGAATTATCAGACCTACAGAGCATTTCTGTTGGGTGAAAAATGGAAGGTTTGTTAAGATTTTCAAATAAAATTAATGTTCATTATTATCTTTCGTATATCTGATCCTACAGTATTCTTTCTTTAACTTTAGCTCGGCTCAATCTTGCAAATTTACTACAGAAAACTTTTCTTAGTTCTGCCAATGCATTCAACAAAGTTTTTCATGAGGCCGAATTTGAAGTACGACGGTAAAATGACTCATCTAGGAACATTAAAAATTAAATTTCTCACTCGCGATGCTATCTCTAGTCTAGCTCTAGCTCTACTGTTTCAGTCACTTGTAACACAGCTGTCTTGGGGAACCAAAACGTGAGAAAAATGACAATGAATCTTTTGACACTCAGCAATAGCGAGTTGAAGAAAACACTGGAACTAATATTCTGTTGACTGTAGTAGGCACTGGAGCTATAGTTATTTCATAGTTATTCAGAAACGAATACCCTCACTAATTTTGGGTGGACCTAATTTTGGTGAAAAATTTTCGCAAGAACTGAAAGGCAAATATTTCGTTTCTTTGAAATTTCTCGTCAAAAAATTACTATCAAACCATTTCTTGATATTTTTGAAATCTGGACGTACGAGAAACGTGAATGTTCTTCGGATATTATATAGTCTGGGTCAGAAGATTCTTTTTTTGGAACTTGTGTCCAAGGGCACCGAAAATTATGATTCAGGGCTCATTCGATTCGAAATGACCTCTAGGAACTTTGTGGAAAATTTCAAGATGGGCTTGAAAAAATTGCAAAAGTCATAAACCACTTAGTAAAAAAAGAAGGGGTTTGGTTTTTTGCATATATCTCGGAAAATATTGAAGATATACGAAATTTGAAAAAAGATCCATAAAGAGAAGAAAATTTTCAAAAAAATAACGTTTCTCGAAACTCTATCACCAATATTTATAATNGTTTATTTACTAAAGTATATCTAATAAAATGATCACGAAATTCTTTTCCCATGGATTTTTGTCTAGGAGGTATGTGAATGTTTCTTCCTAATGACTAATGATGATATTCAGTGGGTTAAAACGATTTTTATTGTTCAAAGGTCCGGTTTGGTCAGCGCGTGCGGGACGCGGATCGCCCGCTTTTAAAGCTATTTGAAATCATAAATATTGGTAATAGAGTTTCGGAAGGTGAAACATTTTTCAGGAACTTCTCTCAAATTTAAGGATCTTTTATGAATTTTCAGATATCTTTGATATTTTCTGAGATATTTGCAAAAATCCATCCCCCTCCTTTTTTTACTAAATTGTTTATAACTTTTGCAATTTTTACGAGCCCCTCTTGAAATTTTTCAAAAAGTTGCTAGAAGTCATTCCAAATTGAATGAGCCCTGAATCATTATTTTCGGTCATCACATCATGTGAGTCGCCGCTCTCCGTTGGGCATTGGTCAGATCCCACTGGGTAGGCGTTTTGGAGAGTTGTTTTCAATTTTTATTCAAAATATGTATTTTCTTGGAGTCTATGTCTTTCCTCAGCACAGATTTATCGGACTGATATTATTTCTAATGGAAATTCATAAAAATTATTTGAGAAAATTGAATTTAGACTCTAGAAAATCTAGGTTCATATTTTATATGAATATGAATGGTTAGGAATTATCATATAGAAATTATACTGAATATATTCAAAGGATTTAACTTGTATATTTTGAAAAATACCACGAATGAATTGAAGTTGATAATTATAATAGTTTATTTACATGAAATAAATACTTCACAATATGACTTCAGTTATTTTCACCATTGGTAAGCAGCATGGAGTCCAGAGTACGATGTATGAGCTACCACTGGAGCAGCGGAGTAAGCAGACACTACTGGTGCGATACTTTTAGTTAGAAGTGGGGAAGAGTAAGCTGATACAACTGGGGAAGAGTAAGCTGAGCTGAAGCCAAGTGGAGCAAACGATTTGGCTACAACGGGAGCGGAGTAGGCTGAAACGACTGGTGAAGAGTATGCAGACAAAACTGGTGCTACGGATCTGCTGATGAGAGGTGCAGAGTAGGCTGAGACAATAGGAGCGTGTGCAGCGTAGCTTGATACAACTGGTGATCCGTGGTTGGTGTAGGAGCTGACGACTGATTTTGACAGGGGTGCAGCATAGGCTGATAGAACCGGAGAGGAGTAGGCAGATACTACTGGTGCAGCAGAGTATGTGGCAATTGCAGGTGATCCAATTAATCCGGCGTTAGCGCAAGCCAAAGCAGCGGCAAAGATGATGAACTGAAAATTTCACAACAATTGTAAACTTCGTTTATTATGACTTTTCATAAAAGTCAACGATAAAATCAATGAAACTGTACTCAATTGTTGATTATTCCATATTTTATATTCAATTAGTTTTGGGTTAGAAGGGAATACTTTTAAAAATGATTTCTTCTATTACTTCAACTCAGCTGAAAACATGATTTTCAAAAAATAACTTCAATATTAACGAATCCACTTTATGTATTATGCACTGCCCGCGTAAATATAACCTACTCACTTTCAACTTCTGAACGAGACGAAAAATCAAGATTTGACATCATTTTCATCAATTGAATATATCTGACCGATACTTGATGAAAATCCATATTAAAATTAACTATTATAGTGAAAATCATACAATAAACGGTATAAATGAGTTTTTTCATTACTTTTATTACTTTTTGATAAGAAAAGTCCATAGTGTTGAATCACTAAGGAGGGTTTTGTGATACCTCTATACACCATTTTCTTATTTATGGAAATTTGTTGGGTCGTTTTTGATTAATTAGCATTTTCATATTCGTTTCAAGAATCTACAAACAGATGATAAATATCAAAGTTTCGAAAACATTGTAACTCACCCCCATACATTTTAGCGAATTTAATAATTGTTTACGATTCACTTTCTGGCAAACTCATTTACTTCTTGCATTATGAAATGTTCCTGGAGTAAGTTAATTTCAAGCTATTATTTTTCTATCTACGAATTCTAAAATGAACTATGGCTATTAATTGTACAGTACAAATGCTACGTATTCTTTTTATATATCTAGTGGCGATATATCAGGTAATCTAATAGGCCCTTCTGAGCACTTCTTATATTTGACAAAATTTTGTTAACTTTTTGTTCGATATTACATTTCAGCCTTTTTATTACGAAAAGTTGGTTTGAAACCGGTCGGTATGCAAACTTGGTCTATTAGAAAAGACGACTATGTCACCTGATATAATGACGCTAGATATTTTGAGGCGGTACATGAGGTGTACAATATGCAACCATAGATTTTGTTGATAGATAAAAAAAACAACGAAATTACCTCACTAATATTTCATTATGCACGGAATACATTTGTTAACAGTTTTGTCCAGAAAGTGAATGATTAACACTTTAAATATTTACTGAAATGAATTGAAGTGAATTTTGAATACATTTTTGAAATTCTCATATTATCGCTTTTTTGCAGATTCTGCCAATTATTCAGGAATGTCTGAACCAATTTCCAAAAATAAAACAGTGTTGGATGTGTATTTCAATTTCAAATCTAATTAGATATCATGAGACTCTAATTTCCATTTGAATAAACAATATGGTTGCATCCCCTCGGCTACGAGTGATACAAGGGTATTGTTTTCCTTTTCAAAAAGTAGTGAAAATGATGACTTTTCACGTAAATTTCGTGTGAAGTTGATAGATTGTCCCGTTTAGAAGTTAAGACGGGGGACTATTTATATCCGCATATAATTGAATACTTTTAGTGTAGGTATTCTTCTATATCAGTTTTGAATTTTATTCTTCTCGAAATAGATATTATTGATCTGAGTAGTATCATTTGCCAAAATTTTAGTGTCATCAGACATTTTCACGTAATGTTGAGAAATCGATTTCAGTTAGAATTTTTTGGATAGATCAGAAATATGTTCATATTGACATCAGGGATTAATTTTTCTCGCTCCTTTCAAAAAATTATCCTTATCCTGTAGATTTGAAAGATGCGGATGCGGTATAACAACCATTATTTAAGTATAACAAAAATATCATATACAATTTTCAATAATAATTATTATCAATAAAAAGCCAATTTTGATATTGATGATGATTGATGACTTCATTTACAACAATTATATTTACATCATTGTATATATTTTCAAATGAAAAAGCATTATCATTTCGAAGAACTTGAAGTAATAATAATGATTAAACATTGAATTCTGTGTCAACAGATTTTTGTCATACTCACTTTTGATGCCATTGTCGTTGCTTCTACTTTAGTTGGTCAGAAACTGATACAATTCAAGATGTTTCTGCAGTTTTTATAGCGGTTGATCGATACTTCCACTTGGCGGCGGTTTTGATCCACTTTCTGTTTTTATGAAGGTCTAGGTTGGCCTCTTTCATTTCGTTATTATTGCGACAAGGGATATGTTCAAATGTGTTATAACAATGTATTACAAAAACTTCATCCTGCGAAAACAGATTACATTTGTGTACAATCTGTTGGGGTTTCGAATAAACAAAAAATTATTAATTCTGTCCATTTGAAATCAGTTGAGCCGAAAAAAAAATCGCGATTTGAAAAAACATAATAATATCTGATAACACAAGTCTGCGATGAAAAACATGTAGGATATTTTACTAGTGGTTTTAACAGTATTTTGTGTGCAGATTACGGAAAAAATAGTAAAAAAATTCTATTACCTACAGATAAGTCATAAGTTTCACCTGAAATTTTCTTATTAGAAGGGTTTTTAGGTTTGGTATGGGTTCGATGTTTCTGTACTATATAGCCTATATAAGCGGTAAATTAAATCTGTATTATGGAGCTTTTATGATGAACAAGTTACTACACAATGTGAGTGTGTATCTAAGATAAAATACGGTTTTAATCTATTCATTTCAATAACAAAACGATTCAGTACGAGATCTGGGCCTCCCAAAGGACTCAGCAGAAGTTTTAGGGTTTAGACTTAAAGAAAGACATATGTTAGCCTCCGTTGTTTCATTTTCATGGTACCGATTTGGGGAAAGGGAATTTGTCCCTTATTTTACACAAGAGGGTGACCAAGTTTTCTACAACAATGTACCCGGCGTCATGGAAATGTTCAACATAACGTATGAACCAGAGAAATGGAGACTTTTCATCGATTCATCAAAAAGAAGTTTGAAAGCTGTACTTCTTCACAATGGAAATCAATATGCTTCTATGCCTGTTGGACACTCAGTCCGTAGGAATGCTACGAAAATCTTGAATTTGTTCTTGATTAGCTCAGCTACTCTGATCATAAGTGGACCATTTGTGGAGACTTGAAAGTTATTTCAATGTTACTAGGTCAACAAAGTGGTTACACTAAGTTTCCATGTTTTCTATGTGAATGGGATAGCAGTGACAGGAAACAACACTATGTCAAGCAGGTGTGGCCAATAAGAAAGGGTCTTATTCCTGGAGTTGAAAATGTTGAAAAACAAAGTTTCTTCTCACTAAAAATCTTACTTTCACTACTCCATATCAAATTGGAGCTGATGAAACAGTTTGTGAAAGCATTAGGCAAAGAAGGCATTCGAAAAAATGTCTATTTCGAGGGGGATTTATTCAAAAAGTACATTCCGAGGGCAGAGTGCGATACGGTATCTGTTCAAAAAATAAGGTGAATGTTGAAATTCTGGCGGCTATGTACACGCGTACACGCGTGTACATAGCCCCCACGCGTGTACGCGTACCATTATTTTTATATATTACACGCGTTGTTATCTCTAAACTGAATATCTCCGATAATCATTCTATCTTTCTATGCATCGATTGCGTCACACACGTCTCTTTCCCACTCACTAACGTAACTATGTCTCCTACCCCGTATCTGATCTACTAATATACCGTGGCATGAGCATCGGTCACGAATTCTTGAATGACGTCAACGATGATCCAGTTTTACTTGAAAGGGTCATAAGAGGAGAGGAATCATGGGTATATGGTTATAATCTCTAAATCAGTCTAATCGTTCCAATGGAAGAGCCCAGGAGAGCCAAGACCAAAAAAGTACGCCAATTTTGATCAAAGGTTTTGCTCATTGTTTTCTTCGATTATCATGGTGAAGTGCATCATGAGTTCTTGACACATGGTCGTACGGCCAATAAGTATTATTTTGTGAATATACGAGAAGCAATGCGAAGAAAACGTGCGGTATTGTGGAAAAACAATCCATGGCTTTTGTATCACGATAATGCACCTGTTGACTCGTTATTGCTTGTTCGATATTTTTTGGCCGAACCCAACACTATAATAATGCATCAGCCACTGTATTCACCTGATTTTTCATCCTGCGACTTTTGCTCCCCTTGCGACTTTTCCCTGTTCCCAAAATTAAGAATCGCTGAGAGAACTTAGGTGCATATCCGAATTGCTTCGAAGATCAGAAGAAACACTGACAAAAGTGTATTATATCTGGGGGGAATTACTTTGAAAGGGATAAAATAGTAACTCTTCGTAAATGTTAAGATTATTCATTCGACCAATTCCTACTTGATAAATGTGTTGAAGAAATGATGTCATATATTACCAACAGGTCAATATATTAATCAACCCTTCTTTTGTAAAACAAGTTATTTTTTGTAAACAAGGCTTCAAATTTTTTATTTCACTGAGGGAGTAATGAAAACAAGTACATTCGATAGTTCACTCACTTATTTGTTGAGTGTTTGAAATAGTTTCCTATTTCCATACAACATGGTTTGATGTTCTGACATTCAGCAATAATGCGTTGAAGCGAATCTATTGGAGATGCTGCTCGAGTTTCTTGAATTTTATTGTTGGAGTGACTCTACATAAAATATAAATGGCCTGAATCAAGTGATTTTGCTGGCTATCCGATACTTCGACCAAAAAAGGTCTGACGAAGAGCAGGTGTTCAATCTTGTTGGAAAGCTAACAAATTTTCACTGTGCCGGTCACTATGTTCAAGAATGTCGGTTAGTGTCGGTGTCAAGAATGTCACTTCCGAAAATAATTTTTAATAGTGCCCGACTCGGCTTAGTATGGATAGCAGAACATAGGTACATGTCATAGCGGCATAGTGTCACATCAGCTTGTTTACCAATGAGGTTCCTGTTTTACCCGATGGACGAGCGCCCTCCAGTGAGCTCAAGAACAGCACAGAATATTCGAGAGTATACGGTATTGTTCATTGATATTCCAGAACATTCAATAATATTTAAGAATATTCTGGAATGAGATGGAATGTTCAGGAATTATCTAGAATATCATCATCTCAGGTTATTGTGGTAACCTTCTATTTTACATCTTCGAAAAACATTTATATCTCACCTGAAGGGTGTGCTCTTGAAGACGAGCAAGCTGGAGGTTTCGTCATCTAGAAAGCTCTAGAACAGCCTAGAATATTCCAGTCTATTAGATAGCATTCCAAATCATTTTAGAGCATCCCGGAATACTCTGGAATGTTGAAGAATGTTCAGGATCAGTCTGGAACATTCGGGAATATTCAGAAATATCTCAGATTATGATAGAAAAATCAAGGAAGTTATATTTTGTGTTAGTTCTTCATCTTCCACCTCTAAGGAAGACTCACATTCCCACCCAAAGGGCGTGCTTTTGGAAACTCAAGGGCTGGGAGTTTCGCCATTCAGAAATTCCTAGAAAATTCCAGAACTTCGAGAGGATTCAAAATATTCCAGAGTGTACAAGAATATTTTGGAATTTGGAGGGATGTTTAGAAGTAATCTGGAACGTTTGAGTACGTTCTAGAACATCCCAAATATTTAGGAAACGATCAAGGAAGTTTTATATACAGTGAATTATGTGTTATATTGAAAATCATTTTCGAAGTTATCCATGAAAATTTCAGCTGGCAAAGAACTCATCAGGTTTCTCATCATTAGCCCTTCATTGCATTAATAAAAATTTTCAATAAATTGGAAATATTTCTGACAGACAAATATTACGTAGACTCAGGAATAACATGGATACTGTCTAAGAGATGCCCAATGAGCTAAATTGTTTTCATTTGATTATTAAGAGTGTGTATTTTAATTGATTGAATGAGCATTTCTGAGATTAATACGGATAAAACCGTTAAAAACTACTCCACATATCTTATCGGAAAAGTTTTGTGTAAGTAAATGAGATAATAGATTTGGCGTGGTTGTTGGTTCACGATCACCCTCTGAGTTTAACACTTCTTTTCATCCCAAGCTCTATTGAGTTTAGCATCTTTCTGGTACAGAGTTGTAGCATCATTCATCAGAACATCGTAGGTTTCTGAAATGAGAAAATTTCGAGAGTTTTACCAACGTATCATTTTTGCTTATCACAGTAACAGTTCCACCTTTATCTGCTCTCGTGAATATTACACCATTATCTTCAGATACCTGTTCAATTCTTTCTGCAATTATCACTCACAACCAGTGCTTGCACTTCCCTACATCAGAGGATTATCGGAGAGGATAAGAAGAATTGGTTTCAAGTACAACATTAGAACCTGTTTCAGATCCGGTAACACTATCCGTAGCAGCCTCACGAAAACCAGGCCCCCAAACGCGGACTGCGATTCCAAGAATTGCATTTACCGGATACCCTGTGAGTGCGGAAAATCCTATATTGGTGAAACTAAGAGGCCATTGAATGTTCGCATTGCCGAGCACAAGAAGCACACACAGCGAGGAGAAACCAGCAAATCAGGAATAGCAGACCATGTTTGGACCCATCAACACAACATCGAGTGGTCCCAAGCTGAGATCTTGCACAGAGAGGAACATTGGTTCAGGAGAAAATTTAAGGAAGCCGCATACATGTTGTCCAACAACGTATTCAGCCAGGTCAGCGTAGATATACGAAACATATGGAAACCCATCATCAAACGAAAAATGACCAACTCCCGCCAAAACGGTCATCTCTCACGGAATCAGTGAAGCGGAAAATGGAAAGTAGAGAAAGTGAAAGTATTTCAACGACCTATAAAATAGTCATCTCTCTTAGGAATCAGTCCAGTCATCACCCGAAGACGATTGTAGATACCAACAATCGAAACGTCGTGAACTAACGTGACTTGGAATCTCTACACTTTTTATTTTTTATTATTTTCTTTTTTCATTCCTTTAATTTTTATTTATTCAATTATTATATTTTTTACTTGTAGGTTATTTCACTATCATTTCATTGCAGGTTTATTGTTGCCTAATATAATTGTTATTTTCAACTATTCTTTTTTAATTATTCTTTTTTACTTGTTTCAGGGATTTCAAATCATTTTATATAGTAGACA